ACTCCAGCAAAATCATCCACCCGAGCTACAAATCTCCATCAATTCGGACATGTCAATTTTATTGAATTCACTTGAAGAGAAGTAATCACTGGTTTTGATATATATTGAATTTAACAGTAAAAAGAAAAAAATGAAATGAACAAATCAATGTGGCTTATCATGTATTATGTTCTCTTTGGTTGCGTGTTATGCTATTAAATGTAATGATGAATATAAGTTTTTATAGTCTAATATCAAAGATAAGAATATATTGGTTATTTTTTAAAATGTACAAAGTTCATTCATGTATTTCATCTTCATTACAAACTACTGATTTATGATAATCAGTATTATATCTCGCTGAAGATGTAATTTTCGTTTTAGAAACAAAAACAAATACAATGGATAGAATATGGCTAGTAGTAAAATTTAGGATCTGCATTTCATTCCATTTGAGACTAATCAGTTAGATGTATATTTACCTGTATTATTATTCATATTAGAACTCAGATCTAGTACATTTAGCTTCGAAGTCCCAATGCGTTATCGATTTAGCTGCTTAATCCAGTTAGTCACAGCTTTGTACAATGAGTATGGATTTTAATTTGATTCATGGTAATTCTTGGATTATTCCATTGTTGGTATTGTTGACTAAATTTCTATCAGTCCTAGTTGGTTTACATGCATTTTATGTGAATTGCTTCGAGATAGTCGCTACGTCAAAAGTTTATGTAGAATAGATGGAATGTATCTAACAGTGTAATCAAAGATAATCCGAAACCACTATAAATTGAAACAAAACTTATACCTTTTGAACAAATTAATTATTAATTAGACACAGCAGCTCGGAAGATAATGTAGTAGCTTTTGAAAAGATAGGCTCTGAGTTCAATTTCCAATTCAGAAGCCAACAATAAGATGTAGGTACCTCCAGATTACGAGTCAGGAATATGACGAAACGAGCGTATTAAAATCCATTATCAGGAATAATCCATCTAGTCTTAATATTTAACATATTTATACAAACACGCGCTTAATTATTGGCTGAGAAACTTTAATATTCACTTGGTGTTGTTTACTTGTATCTTCCCATTGTTATTTAGGACTGCAATTGATCAGTCTCTTGTTGGCATATGTGCATACTGTGCGTATTGCCTCGATATTGCCTTAATTCACAAACATTATAAGCAAAGATGGATACTGACTAGCAGTGGAATCCAGTTTGACGCGCGTTTCGTCCAATTTGGGACCCATCACATAGATGTACCTGTATCTCAGAGTTGATGTTCACTCTGGGACTCGAACCCAGTGTCTTTCGCTTCAAACGTCATCACGTTATCCACTTAGCTACTGAGTCCTGATAGCCACTTTCTTTGTGCAATGTGGTGTATTAATCTGTGAGCTCTTTCTAATAATTCAAAAATATTTCTCAGTTACTTTCATATATCAATGAGAACGTTAAAGGAATATCATTAACATGAAATTTATCTATAAAAATTTAGTATCAGTATTTTCTTTCATTAAGTGCTTATAATTAAGTTAAACTTATTACTTAGCTATTTATAAGTACTATATGCCTGTTAAAAAAAATAATAAAATAGATTCAGTGATGTGTAAAAACATCTCTTGTTTATTGTCTTAATTCTAATAAATGAAAAGGGAAAACATTGAATGGATATCAAAGAAATGAAAAGGTGCATAGGTCTAGAGAGAGGGGGGGAATATAAATCTGGTTGGAGAGATGGAAAAATAAGTAGTCAATGAAGAACCGAATACCCTGTCTAACTGTTTTTGTAGGTTTATTATAATCCGATTAACTTCAACTATCACATTTTGTCATAAATAAATTCGATTGATCCAGATGCTTGACCCAGTAATGATAGAAATTGAGAACACGTGCTTCTGTAGGAGATAATTTGTATTAATAATTCTCCTTAAGTTGGTTAAGTTTGAAAATAAAAACATCAGTAATAAGAATAATAGAATCAAAACCCTTATTATTTGTAATTAACCGGGGTTTTTTTTCAAGTCTATAAATGATACTATGGGATTATTTCAGTCAACATTGAAAAAGAAACTGTTGGATAGCTAAACATACTTTTGAAACTTTTGACAGTAGAACGATTAAATTAATTAGAATGGACAATTTCATTAAAGAAAGTTAGTCTTAGAAACACTAATTCAGTTAAGACAATTGGTTTTTGATATATAAAATGTTCATTGTTCCCAGCCTTGTCAACTGATATCGATTGTTGTGTAACTAACTAATATAAACAAACATTTGGCAATTTTTTTTCTTTTTCATCGATCAGTCAATTAGTGTTTTACAATGACAATAAACACTAGTGAGTATTAATTAAACAAATTCATTAATTATTACCGTGGTACGTCCGAGAGTAGGGAGAGTCAGCTCTATATTTCCACGTGTATACAGCCATTGATAGGGAAGTTCTATTCAGTGCCTTCTCGCGGTATTACTGTTGTTTATGAAATTGAGAGGATGAATGTTCTCGCTCTAACCGGATTGGTGAACACGAAAAATGCATCTAGGGGAGTTGGGAAACCCTGATTCCAAACCAATGGTGCATATGGACTTCAGGATCTTCAAGGAACAAATGATGTATGAACCAATCGTTGGTCACCGACTACCATGGGACTGCATCTCCTAATGTTGTTCCACTGCCTTGTGGATCAGACCTTTAGGTCGAAGGCTCCGGGTGTGGCCCCTTAAGAAAACCGCTTGCTTCAGTTTGGGCACCTGGACAGTATCACAGCCCTCACACAATTAAATGAAATGACAATTTTCTGTGTTGCTCATACATATCTGGTTCTTCCTTGTACAAACATTTATGTGTTCAAATAAATAAATAAATAGTTCTATTGTCTGAATTGATTTGTTCAGAGTTAAGTTATAAAAAAAATCACTAAGCTGGAGAGACAAAATCCGACTCACGCGTCCTCGTTGTGTCTCCTGCATCATGGGACTGTTTCCATGAACTAACGTGAGCGGTAACCCGGGTCGTGAAGATCGGCCTAATCAACCATTCTACCAATACGATTACGAATGCTACAAAGAGTCATTGAGGGTTCAAAAGAGTGGTTAAAACAATGAGTCTGCTCAAACGAAAAACAGGGTTGTGAGTGTTATGTGATAGTTATGCGTAAGCAGTGCAGAAACAGCTAATCCGCCCCGGTAGTTGTGCCGTGTTTTGATGTAGCACTCTTCTCCAGAAGAGCCTACTAGGCTTTACCATTCTATATGGCTGGACGGGACATTAAGCTGATATCTCGGAAAAATTCAATCAGTTTGAATGTTTTTCATTTATGTAATGGACATATTTGAATCACACATTGATTGAATGTAAGCTTTGACTGAGCTTATAGTTGAATTCCTATAAATGGAATGATAGGTTCTAAAGTGTTTATTCCAAAGAATTCCTTATTCAATACTAGATTCAATTCAATATACATTTTCATCTCCTATTGGTATATCACTGCATATTTTGAATTTTATTTAATTGTTATATTAATCTTATGATTTCATCGTTTATCAGGATACAATTTTTAAAATAGTACCCAAGTTTGTATTAGTTTTAGTGAGAATTTGAATGATTCTGTTATTGATATTCAGTACTAAATTTCGATTAATGTTTGTCGGTATATATACACTCTGTGTGGATCGTCTAAATAAAACCGTCCCACTGTTAGTCACAGTCCATATATATTGTAAAACTTGTAACTAGATTGTTATATTGCGGCTATCTACCCATTGTACAAGTGAGTAATAATCTAGAATCAATAGTTAAGTGGGTGACGCTTTTGATTCGAGTTTCCATGTGAATAATAACAGTAGAATACACATATATTCAGTCGAATAGTCACAAATACGACCAAATTTGTATTCCGGATTCCACTGTTAGTCATAATCCATCCTTCTCATTTTAAAAAGCAGCTTTGTATTTAGTATATTTCAATGGATAATTCACTGATCATAGATTGACGTAATCTAGAAGAACTATTTAAAAATAAGAACATTGTTATTATCACTTCAAGAATCAATTTCAGAATCATCATGTCTCATGGTAAGCAAATCATATCTACACTACTATACAGGTATCCGAGAGGGGATATTTCCAATTTTAATTAGTTCACAATATTGCATAATCATCATCTATATCTATCATTGATAAATATTTTTGCATTTAACCTTTCAAAACTTTACTAGTTATAGGCAAAGATGGATAGTGGCTAGCAGTGGAATCCAGGACAAAGCGTGTTTCGTCCTATTTGGGACTCGTCAGCTGAATGTACCTGCATCTCAGAGTTGATGTTCACTCTGGGACTCGAACCCAGTACTTTTCGCTTCAAACATCATCGCGTTACTAGATATAGATTTGTATTAAAATTTTTATAATCATAATTAAGCAGTTGGTTATTTATTTGAGTAGATTAATTCAATAAAAATAAAATTTATTATCTAATTACCTTTTTTGTTGTTGTTTTCTGTGAAAATCACTTAGAAATTTACCAGACAAGTATTTAATATAATTGAAATTATGAGTCATTTGAAGCTAGATCACCATGGGAAAATTGGAAGCAATGGGCGGCCGTGTCGTCCTATTGTGGGACTCCTTAGCAGTGTGTATTCATGATCACTTCTCGCGGGATTCAAACTCAGGACCTACCAGTCTCGCGCCAGAACACTTAACCGATAGACCACTGATCCGTCATCCGATGGAGCTTCAATTGACTCATGATTTCAACTATGAAAATACTGAAATCTCCACAAAACCCCATTCTGATTATATAATATAAATTTATCATTAAAAAGAAAAGAAAAGCGTATTTAATAAGTAGTAAATGTCTTTATATCTTATATTAAATAACCATAATAATTATAACAAAAGTATTAAAATTCATTTCATTTATCTGAGAGTTCGACAAGTGAAATGATCAAATTACATAAGAATATAACTAAGCTTTTAACAAGAAATAGACATATATATCTGTTTATATGCCTAATGAATACACATGCTTTGTATATTGAAGAATATACTACTGCTACTACCACTGCTACTACTACTACTACTACTACTACTACTACGATTACTACGACTACTACGACTACTACTACTACTACTACTACTACTAATAATAATAATAGTACACCCACTTCATACTTCACACCTTTATTTTACACCTATTCATCAGTAAAAGGAAATAATAAACAATAATAATAACCATTATTATTACATTTATAAGCTTCAAAATAATATCAGTATACATGTGTGTGTGGGTGGGTGGGTAAATGTATAAGTTTAGGGTTGATAATGGTTAATCTATGAATTATATATAGTGTGTATAATAAATATGGAACCAAACTATACTGTATTATTGTTATTATTATATTTAGGCGTCGAATTACATTGATGAAGTAAATAGATAGTTATTAAAGAGGGAAAAAGACAAAGGAAAGAAAGAACAAAGGTGTTATCAATTCAATGTATAGGGAAATTTATAGAGATTGTAGAATGTTTATAATTTAAATTACAAAATGGTTTTATTTACATCACTATTATAAACTTGGAAGTAATGGAAAATCGTTTCGTTTTAGTATTAAACAATTCATCAGCGCGCATCCACAAACCAAACTCAGGAATTCAAACTCAAGACACCCAGTCTCCTAAGGGAACACTTAGCTTCTAGACTATAGCTCTTGAACGTACCAGTGTAGAAGTCTGATTCAATCCACGATGTTTGGCGACCATCTTTCGTTGTCCTCGGTGGATAACTCTCATACACTTCATGATTGAATTAGACTGGTAGCATCTTCTGATTGGAACTCCATAAATCACAACCTGAAGCTAGTCCTTAATGAGTATATGATTTTTGTTTGTATAGAGGGGAGTTATCGTAAACACTAGGATTTTTACGGAGAGTTATCCATTATGGATTTTTTAAAAATGATTGCAAAACATTGATTATAGTTAAACACGTACACTGTTGGATTCCGACTTATTGATTTAGTAATTAAACATTCGCTTGCGAAACCGATGGTCTTAGGTTCGACTCCCTGTGTTAAGTTCATAGATGCACACTGCTAAGGAGTTTCATAATTAGAGGAATCACTTGTCCAGTGTTCCCTGGTTTTCAATCGTGATCTAGTTAAGATCATTTCGTGATTTGAACTATCAGTGTATATATGTGTTCCCTTATGATAAATGTTTTAATTAACATATGAAAATACATATGTTAATAAAGATGAATAAGGTAAAATACTACTGAATTTCTGTTTCAGAACTAGTTTTCTTCATTAAAGTAAATATTTAACTCATATAACTAAAAAAAGATTCCCAGAAACTGTTTGGTGTTTAACAAAAGACTGTGATAATTAACATTTCTATACTGTGTATTCGCTGTATTTTTTGAGAATATTTTTTAAAAGTTTCTCTTACTAATATGGATGTTTCATAGTTGAAAGCGTGAGTCAATTGAAGCTAGACCACCATGGAAGACCTGGAAGCACTGGACAGCCGTTTCGTTCTATTGTGCAACTCCTCAGCAATACGCATCCACAATCACGCCACGCCAAATTCGAACCCAGTACCTATCATTCTCGCGCGCGAACACTTAACCTCCAGACCATTGAGCTGGCCGGCATCTAACGGTGTTAATGTCTAACTTCAACCAATCCACAAAATTGAGCAACACATTCATCATTGTCTTCAATGAGTTACTATCATATAACAGACCTAGTTGAACTTCAATCTAACCTTTCATTTCATAGTTCAATATTGAATGAAATAAATTAAAACTCAAATTCTACAATGACATTAGTGTGTGTTTTTATAATTTCAAAGGAAGAAAAAACAAAACAAAAGAAAGATAATTTATCATTCTCTTTCCATCATACTATTCATGTTTACTTTAAATGTTAAAGAAACTGACCATAGAAAACACTGTATAGGGTTTCTTCATTGAGTTACTTTCAAATGAAAACCCCTATCTTAACAATTTCATTTTATACACATTATGATCAATATTTAAGAATCGTGATAAATTTTTCTTTTTAATGGATAATACCAGAAATAAATTAATGATGAACGTGTTTAAATGGGTATCATCTTAGTTCGAAAGATTTTTTTTTAAAATTTTTTTCATTACCCTCCCCCCTAATGATAATCCATTCACTTTTATCAAATGATTATGTAATTGTGTTTCAATGTTTAGAGAGAAATAGTCAGGTTTCTTTTTTCAATGAAAAAACAATCTATATTACATAATTCATTGTATGTCATTGTATATATGAGTTTAAAGGGGAACAAAAGAAGCATTAGATTGGTGCTCGAATTTCTACTCAAGTATTTAGTCAATCAGGATTATGTTGTATACTTGTAGTGCCAGTAATCAATGTGAATATTATTATTATTATTACTATTACTATAATCAATAATAGTCACACCCAAAATGTTCTCTGAAATTACAACACACCTAATCGTAAATAATAAAAAAGAAGACCGTCAGTGACATAATATATAGTAAGATTTTTTTTTCCTTTTCATTTTACACCTAACAAATTGGCACGTTTTAAAACCTGACATTCTATGCTTTCAAATATACATAACCATATTTCAAAAGGGGTTTTTGTGAATATTTCAGTATTTTCATAGTTGAAATCATCAGTCCATTGAAGCTAGACCATCATCGAAAACCTGGAAGTACTGGACGACTCTTTCGTTCTATTATGGGACTCCTCAGAAGTGCGCATCCACGACCTCGCCTCGCGAGATTTGAACCCATTGCGAAACGGCCGTCCAGTGCTTCCAGGTTTTCCATGATGGTCTAGTTTCAATTGACTTATGATTTCAACTATTTAAATAATTTATTCAGTATACCCTTCACTTATAAACTATGATTGATAAGAGAGGTTAATGTTTAAAAACAAAAATAGGAAATCATATTTCATTGAATATACATTGGCTAGTGATTATGTTAAGTAAGTGCTTGAAGTGAAAAATAAAAATGGTTAGTGTAAAGTAAATATCAGTTTGGTCTGAGTTTCGGTATTGAGTTAAATAAAGTATTCTATTGAGGTGGATTAAAGTGTTTAGGTTTTTTTCCTTCATTATTCTAAAACATTGAGTTATCTTATTCCATATCTTATTTAAACAGTGACTTCTATTGTAGTGTATCCTACTTATCAGAGGGGGGTTTTGTGAAGATTTTCAGAAATTTCATAGTTGAAATCATGATTCACTTGAAGCTACACCACCAAGGAAAACCTAGAAGCACTGGACGGCCGTTTCATCCTGTTGCGGGACTCCTCAGCAGTGTGCATCCACTATCCCACCTCGCGAGATTCGAAGTCAGGACCTATCAGTCTCGCGCGCGAGCGCTTAACCTCTAGAACCACTGAGCTGACCGGTATCAAACTGTGTTAATGTCTAACTTCAACCAATCCGCGAAGTTGAGCAACCGTCCCACAATAGGACGAAACGACCGTTCAGTGCTTCCAGGTTTTCCATGGTGGTCTAGTTTCAATTGACTCATGATTTCAACTATGCTACTTATGTTGACTGTTATAAGTAGTATGTAATACCAATCAGATATAGAATGCCTAATAGTAGAAGGTTGAGAAAATCAAATTGAGGAGAACAGGAATGTAATTAGAGAGTAATTGTAATGACAACAGGAACGAAGGAACAATAAAGCTTTTAAGAACAATTCGAAGATGAAGCGCAAATGATGTAATTGATGTATAATTTTCACATTTTACTAAATCACAATGTGATTGTGAATCAAACAATAAATTAGTCATCCTCAATGAAGTACTCTATCACTACGCTACGCCACATTCACTACACACTCTACTCTCATTAAAGCCATTTGTTTTCCAACTAATCACAAATAATTTATTATACACATAAGTAATTAACTTCAGATTGGGTTTCAGCTATGCTCATTGAGTAATCAAAGACAGGACTTTTCTACGAGAATGAATGGTGTTAGTAAGACTTTATCATCACTTTTAGCAGAGACTGGTTCTTCATTTATTTATTTGCTACAAGAATTGTGTCGGTTACAAGTATTTGTTAAGTTGTAAGTGATAACATAATATTATCAGAATGGGGATTTGTAGAGATTGTAATAATTTTAATAGTTGAATTCATGAGTCGATCTAAACGAGATCGGACAAGGTAAAACCGAGTTTCCTAAGATATATGAGGATGATAAATCCTATGAGGACAGTCAGTCAGAAACAAGGTCGTCAAGATGACTTTGTTTCAAACTTGTGGAATTAGTACAAAGCCTATTGTAGTGTTCAGCATTTGATAGGTTTACGTTTAGCTAGAAAGTACTTTGTGTGCTGGAGGAGTATGAGGAGTAGTATGTGGGAAAATCTGAAAAAGAAAAAAAACAAGAGAAAAAGTGAGCCGACGACTCAACAACCACATAGAATACACTTACATTTTATAATGAAAGCGATTAACAACAATCAGAGATAACATAAACTTTGTTTAAAGACAATCTGATAATGGGAACTCGAAGTTGATACATTAAGGTTTCCAATACGTCACATAACCTCAAAATAGGCAATTATGATGTGATTTACAAGATCAACTAAGTTTTTCAAATTTTTTAGTGTTTTACAATGCGTTCTGTTAAGAAATACTGATAATGCTCAGAATAAAACCCTTGTGATGATGATCATATGCTCACTAGTGACTGGCTCCTTGAGGTAATTCCTGGAGTTCTAGTGGGACGTCGTGGCCAGTGGAGCTAATCCATGTCAGGTAGAGACAGGTATCTACCTCAGTACATTGGAAGTTGGTTGCGCAATTTCGTGGATTGGTTGAGGTTAGACATTAACACTGTTGGATGCCAGCTCAGTGATCTATAGGTTAAGGGCTTTGGCTCGAGACTGGTAGGTCCTGGGTTCGGATCTCGCGAGAGCCGGTTCGTGGATGCGCACTGCTGAGGAGTCCCATAATAGGACGAAACGCCCTTCCAGTGCTTCCAGGTTTTCCACGGTGGTTTAGCTTCAATTGACTCATGATCTTAACTATTAAATTAAGTGATCAGATTGTTATTTAATTTGTTGAAAGCTTGAGTCAATTGAAGCTATGCCACCATGAAAAATCTGGAAGCACTGGACGGCCGTTTCGTCTTATTATGGGACTCCTCAGCAGTGCGCATCCACCACTTGTAACAAATTCTTCTTTCGTAGGCGAAA